CAGCCTGCACGTCGAACTTGGCCATTAGGGCCCCGGGGCCAATGACTACGAGGGATCTGATAGCGTCGTCAACGGAAATGTATCGCATAGAAAAGGGATCGTGAGGTAAACCATCGTTAACGCTTGCTTCTTTGGGAGAGGAAAAGGTCAGGGATGAGGCGCTACTTCCCCGGTCGATGACGTTTCGGAATAACCCCAAACGGAGTGCTTTGAGAGAGGGTAGTGGTGGGGGGGGGGGGTACGGGTAAGGACCAGCCACCCGGCGTTGAGTGAATTCCGTCGAGAGATATTTGTCGATGACGTCCGGGTGTTGAGACGCCGACGTGACATTGCGGAGCGACGGACGAAGGACCACACGCTCTGAAACGAAACCCACACGGAAACCATCGCGAATACCCGCCAGCGAGCCAGAGCTCGTGCACAGAGGCTTCGAGATTGCGAGGACAAATAGAGCCGATCGTGAACGAGGATAAAGGGAGTGGGGTAGGTCCAAGAAAAAGATCAAGGATGAGAGATACGTAGCCCCACCCACCGACCGAAAAAAACCCACTCCAACACAAACGAGTTAGAATACAATTTTATTGGCTAATGAGAGACTAAATAATAATATAATATATTTAGATTTATACAGCGCTTAAATTATATAAAATATTCCAAAGCGCTTTACAACAATGAGGTTATACTATATACAAGTAGCTAAAATATTAAGAATTAAGGTATAGGTGTCTATAAATCTAAAAGTTAGAATCGAAAGCTTTCTTAAAAAGGAAAGTCTTTAATTGAGATTTAAAACAGTCAATTGTTTTACTATTTCTAATACCAGAAGGTAGCATGTTCCAAATTGACGGAGCTGCATGCACAAATGCTCGATCACCAAGAGTCTTGGCTCTAGTTTTTGGGATAAAAAGTAGTCCCTGATCATCAGATCTCAGTTGGTAACAGCAGTTCGGTTTTTCTAACAACAGTTCCATAATGTAGCCTGGCGCCATCCCGTGGAGGGCTTTATATACCAGAAGTGCAATTTTAAAATCAACGCGAAACTTGACAGGCAGCCAGTGAAGGTGCATCAGGACAGGGGTAATATGAGCATATCTTGGTATAAGACACGTCACTCTAGCAGCGGCATTGAGAACTCGTTGAAGACGCTGAAGTTGGTATTGGGGAATGCCGAACAAGAGAGAATTGCAGTAGTCCAAGTGTGACGTCACAAAGGCATGTACGAGCGTTTTAGTTGATTCGATGGAGAGAAACTTCCTTATTTGTCGGATGTTGTACAAGCCCCTAAATGCTTTGCTGCAAACCTTGCCCACATGGACATTCATCGACATATGTTCGTCAAACCACGAACCTAGATTTCGGGCTTCTTGTACAGGTTTTATATCAGCATCACCAACTTCAATCGAGTCGATTGTAACCTTAGACAGCTGCTGGCGAGTTCCAATTATCAAGAATTCCGTTTTAGTGTCATTGAACATTAATTTATGTGAAACTAACCAAGCACGAACTTCGACGATGCAATTAGTAATAGTTTGAATAGCTTGGTCTTGGACAACGGGTGACTCAGGACGGAAAGATAAATAAAGTTGAGTGTCATCTGCATACCCATGGGAAGAAGGCAAGTGCCTGTTAATAATCTGGAACAGTTGAGACACGTATAATAGGAAAAGGACCGGTCCAAGACAGCTTCCTTGTGGTACTCCACAGTTCAACGTAAAATTGGCGGAAAACTTTTGCTTAATATTAATACGCTGCTTTCTACAGGAAAGAAACGACTTAATCCACTTTAAGGCATTTCCGATCACACCAAATTCTAACTTCAATATATCCATCAGAATTTCATGATCAATGGTGTCAAAGGCGGCACTCAAATCCAAGAGCACTAAAAGAGTTACTTTCTGTTGGTCCATGTTCATAAGGATATCATTGTGGACTCTTAGGAGAGCTGTTTCGGTAGAGTGAAATTGACGATATGACGATTGGTTGTTAGGAAGAGGAGCATTATCAGCACAATGCTCAAATAACTGGCTAACAACTGCTTTTTCCGTAGCTTTAGAAACGAAAGACAGGTTACTGACGGGCCTGAAGTTCTCAAAGACTAGATCAAGACCGTATTTTTTTAGAATTGGAATAAAAATGGCAACTTTCCATGCTTCTGGGACGTGACCTTCACTTAACGACAAGTTGATCATTTTCATAATGACAGGTGTTAACTCACTGGCACATAATTTCAGCAGCCATGTTGGGATAGGATCAAGGTTACATGTTGCATTCGACGACTTCATGATTATGTTATGGACTTCTTCTTCTGACAGGAGCTTAAATGAGTCTAATTTGATATCAGGTAAACGATAATCTACTAATGGTGGGTCTACTACAACATTTTCAATGTCATTTCTAATTAGCTCAATCTTTCGACAGAAATATTTTCCGAACTCATCAGCCAGTTTACGTGAATCATCATGTGGAGGCAAGGAGTTTTCTTGAGGTGTGTTGCAAAGTGAAGACACAACCTTAAAAAGTTTTCTTGAATCTCCCGAGCATTGATCGATAAGATCAGAATAGTATTTATGTTTAGCATTTTTCAAACTGGTAGCATACTTGTTACGCGCTTGGCGATAAGCGTCTTTATCATTTTGGCAATTTGATCGTAGCATTACTTTCTCCAGTTTTCTGCGTTTGGCCTTAATACGTTTAAGTTCTTCACTGAACCATGGTACTCTTGGTCTGACAACCACTATCTTTCTTTGTAAAGGGCATGTTTCTCCAAAATATGTGATAGCGTATTATCATAAT